TGTTCAATGAGGCATCTTTAGAATCTGGAGGTTCTAAAATTCAACAAGTTATATGCAAATTTTGCAACTTAAAGCTATCAAAAAATGGCACTTGAATGACTGAGCACATTGCAAAATGTATGAAATGTGGCGATCAAATAAAAAACATATATTTGAACGATATGCCTTTTAAACAGAAGAAAGTTCAAAATGAAATAATGATGGAAGAAGATATTCCTGAAAACTTACCTATTCAAGATATGAAAAAAGAGAAAAAAATATGTTTATCATCTGCTATTCCACAAGTTCCAATTGAGTCTTTCTTTCCAACACCAAGCTGTTTTGGAAACCAAAGTAGGTCTACAACCCCTAAGTTTGGAGACTGTAAGGCAAATAAAACCAAATCAGATAAGCCTCCCTTAAAACGATTGTATTCTTCAACAAGAGTTCCATTCACAACTCAGAAAAATAAAATTGCATCCTACATAGTAGGAGAGTACAAGAGTTTAGAGTCAGAGTTATCAAGCGACTCTGAAGAATACGGATTTGACTTTACAATAGAAGACCTTAATGAACAAGAAAGCCAGAATACAGAATCTGTTATTAATTAAAAATAAATCTTTTAAATGATGTACTATATATTTACCATATATCATGTTATTAATATATATTATATTACATTTATAATAAAAATAAAAATTAAATAAAAGTAAATAATTTTTTTTTTTAATCTAAAAAACAAAAAAAACCATAAAAAACACAAAAAACACAAAAAAAAACATGTTTTTTTTGCAAAAAAAACACAATTAAAAAAAAACGGTTTTTTTTGCAACTCTAGCCCTCATATAAAAAAAGTTATACTCTCAATAATATTTATACTATAAAATTTTTTTCAGCAAAAAAAACATTCTTTTGCGGGGAGGGGGGGGGCAAATTTTGAAGTTCCGCCACTGCATGTTTCCTAGGAAGGCTTGTAATGTTTAAAACTTGAGTTTCAATTATTTAAAAGATATTTTTTTGTATTGGCGTGATTTATTAACTACAAAAGCGCATTAATCAGATCAGTATTAAAAAAAATCAATTAGCCAGAGCTTACCTTTGAGAAGAAAAAAATGGCATTAAAAATTATATTGTTTTTTGCTAATATCTTGATAAATAATTTGTTTTGGAAAGTTTAATTAACATGAAATTTATTTTTTAAGGATTATTTATGATATGAACACAACTTGTCTTGGCACTTTGGAATCACTTTAAAGACATTAACTTTTTTAAACTATTGTAATATTGTTAATTACCGCAAAATGAGTTAAATAAATGTTAAGAAAATCTGGGAATTTTATTATGGAATGTTTATTTATTTTATTTTATTTTTTTAATATTAAATAATTAAATTTAGTATTACATTTAAAAAAATGCTTGATATAAACAATTTTCTTCTATTCACGACATTTGTATAAATGAATTAAAATGTGTTAAAATTTTTTAATTTTTATTTCTTAAATTTCTAATTGAGGTTGCAACTAAAAAAGATTTTTTTATTTAAAAAAATTTAGAGAGTAACAAATAAAAAGTTACGTTAATTTATTTACTTCATTTATTAAAAGTTTATTACTACATCAGCGATTTTGTTGTGAAAGCAAAGATTATTTTTCTAAACACTATTTTTTTAAATTACATTTTTTTTAATTATATACCATTTATTGAAAAATATTTTCTTAACATTATTTAACTCGTTTTGCGGTAATTAACAATATTACAATAGTTTAAAAAAGTTAATGTCTTTAAAGTGATTCCAAAGTGCCAAGACAAGTTGTGTTCATATCATAAATAATCCTTAAAAAATAAATTTCATGTTAATTAAACTTTCCAAAAAAAATTATTTATCAAGATATTAGCAAAAAACAATATAATTTTTAATGCCATTTTTTTCTTCTCAAAGGTAAGCTCTGGCTTATTGATTTTTTTTAATACTGATCTGATTAATGCGCTTTTGTAGTTAATAAATCACGCCAATACAAAAAAATATCTTTTAAATAATTGAAACTCAAGTTTTAAACATTACAAGCCTTCCTAGGAAACATGCAGTGGCGAAACTTCAAAATTTGCCCCCCCCCCCCGCCCCGCAAAAGAATGTTTTTTTTGCGGAAAAAAATTTTATAGTATAAATATTAATGAGAGTATAACTTTTTTTATATGAGGGCCCCCTATAGCTGGTAGGCCTCCCCCCCGCAACGCAGGGTCCTGCGTCCAGTAGTTCCGCCACTGGAAACATGTGTGGTTTTTCGTCTTGTATGACCACAAGCAAGTACTTTATTTTAGACAACTTGGACACTGCCGTTCACAAGTTTAATAATATTAATCATTGCGGAAAAAGTTTCAAAAACAAAAAAAACAAAACTAACAAAATAGGAAATAGAAAAAAACTTAAATAGAAAAAAATAAAAAGAAATAATTTAAATAATTTGTGTACTGTATTTATTTTTGTTTTTTTAGAGTGGTTGTTACATTCAAAAAAAAAAAACAGTTTCAAGTCTACAATAAAAAGAATGATTTTCCAAAAAAGTTATAAAAAATATAACAATAAACTTACAACTACAAAAGTAATAACACTCTAGTAACTAACTGCATAATAAAAGTATAAACACTATAATAGTGTTATTACTTTTATAAAGCACTTATAACTTTCATAGTTCATTCTTTGTTCAAACAACATAAGTAACCCCAAATTTTAATTAAAGTCAAAAAGCATCTAGAAAAACAGAATAGGTATTTAAATAATATTTAAAAGTTAAGGAACCTAAACAACTTTACAAAAACTTCTAAATCCTGGGACTTTGCCAATGTTGCTTATGTTATTAAAATTATGTGTAATTTGTGTGATCTTCATTAAAATAAAATTTTATCCAAAACCAATGATGCCGTAAGGGCAGCTGTCCTTCAGTTGATAAATGGCACAGGTCATGATAGTACATTTTATTTAAGTTGGTATATAAATAAAAATAAATATTATTCAATAAATAAATTAAACTTTTTCTTAACAAAGATTACCTCGTATTTATTCTCCTTTTTTTTTATTTTATTACTCTAAATAAAATTGCTTGCAAAGGAAAAAAAAAAAAAGAGTTTTGTAATTATATGTAGAATGAAAATACTTCTAAGTTTTCATATAAGTTAAGGAACTTAATTTTTAATGAAAATTTTAACGAATGTTTATTATAAACAGATATGATTCAAAGCAATTTGAATTAAATAATGATTGTTACTTATGTTTTTGTATTATTGAAACACATTTAAATAAAGTAACAAATGGCTTCTAATGATTTTTTATAAAAATATTTATGATTAATATATATTTTTTTATATTTATATAAGTATGTATTTTTTACTTTAATTGTCTTTAAATTTAAAAAAAAAATTATGTCAACTTTTAAATTAAAAATTATATCAACTTTAAATAAATGATTTAATTTTTTGTTGTTGTTTTTGTTTACATTACTGCAAAGAAGTGTTTAGAATCTTTTTTTTAACTTTTAAATGAGCGCATTTAAAAATCGTTAGATGTAAGTTATTACTTTATTTAAAAAGTATTTTGTATAATATTATATTATAAAAACAGTAAAGATAAACGATTCAAAGTTATTTATTCCAAACAATCTTATTGTTATAGTTTATTATTTATTTTACATAGATTATCCTGGTCATATTCAAAATGACTGGAAAAAATTTTTTTATTATAATACCCTGAAAAATCTGGAAAAATATTTTTAAGACATATCTGGAAAAATCTGGGAATAAAAACGTTTTTTTGTGTATTTATAAATCTCATGTGCTTAAAAAGAAAATTTTTGGCAGGTATTCTTCCATATAAAAGAAAAGTATTTTAATACTTAAATAGTTTATAAATTAAATTAAACTAGATTTTTAGGTAAAATAGTTTAAAATAATTATTGTGATCTCTAAGTGCTGAGTGTTTACATATCTTAAATAATCCTTAAAAAATATGTTTCATATTATTTAAATGTTCCAAAACAAAGTATTTATCAAAACATAGGTAAAAAAAATTTTAATAAATAATTTTTAACACCATTTTTTTTTTCTCGAAGGTAAGTTTTGATTTTAAGAACTTTTTTTTCTTGATTTATGCCATATATTTCTGCAGTATTTATTTAAAAAAAAATCTTTGATGCTTTTTTATTAATTTCTCAGTAAATAAATTGATTTGGTAATTTTAATTAACACAAAACTTATTTTACTATTTAAATATTTACATAATTTTTTATTAGGGTGGGTGAATAAAAAGCAATTGCTTTTACTCAGCAATTTTTGAGTAATTGTTCAGCTTTACTCAAATTTTTAGCAATTTTGCTCACATATTTTTATTCACGTAAAGCTGAGCAATTACAATAATTTGTCTTGGCACTTGAGATTCCCTTTATTAAAAAAAAAAAGCGTACAACAAAGAAACAAATTATTTTTAAAAATAATGCCTTACCTAAGTAAAATTTAGCATAAAGTAATTGATGAACGTTACCTTTACTGTTTTAATTATTTGATGACAAAAAAAAAAAATTTTAACTTGTATTTCCGGAAAACTATTTGGATACCCGGAAAAAATAAAAAATGTGCAAAAATATCCGGATTTCCTGAAATATCTGAAAAAAGATAATCCCTGATTTTAGTTAAGTTTTTTTATTTTAGTTTTAGTTAAGTTATTTTTATTTTATCTTTAGTCATTTTATTTTATGAAGATTTATTTGCTTCATTACAATAAGTTTTCTTCATAGTTAAGATAAACTTTTTCAGTGCATTTTTAAAATATATACAAATTTATAACGCATATTAACAGCCGTGGTCAAGTTTTAAAACCAAATAGTATTTGTGTGTTCATATAGACGCGAAATCGAATGCCTTCCTGGCCAAGCCTGTATATATGCATATAAACTTGAATAACGCAAAGTAACAAAGAACAAAAATATATTAAAATGTTAAGAATAATAATCATGATGGAAAAAAAAACTCACCAGCCTCATAACCATAACTAGATAGTAACTCTATAGTAACTTTTGGTGTAGAAGTTAAGTTTTTAAGAATTAATCTTCCTTTTTTAATATCTTTAAAAGCTGCTTTGAACTGGTTGTTATAATTACCTTGCAGATATGCACGGTTTAAATAATAGTCTGAAAGAAACTCTAGATAATTAAGTGGCAGTGCATGCCTATGTTTTTCCAAACAATTAATTGAATCTGTAAGTACAGAGATACTCTTTATAGTTTCATAGGGCACATTGTGATATACTTTGATAAGAACTTTACTTGCATTAGCTGCTGCTAATTGAAGTTCACTACCTCTTTCACTAACTTTAGTGTAGACCATATCATAAAGTGTACATAGCTCCTCAGATGCTAAATAATTTTTCAAGAAGTGGAGAGTTTGAAAACATACATGAACAGCTTTAGCAAATACTGTTTCATTGTGACCTAAGCCCAGCTTTATAGATCGTATAACCAAACGTTTTTTTCTTTGAAAAGACCCTTGAAGAATACATGGCAAGATGCAGCAGCATCTACTCATACCAGTACATGTAATACAACGATTTTGATAGCTTTGAACTATACGACTGTTAACATTGGTTAATTGAGATGGACAAAAAAATAAATTATCATACTCAAGAAGTAAGTTTAATTTATCTAAGATATAATCAGTCTTTGCTTGAAACAAAGCTCTGTTTAAAGTTGGGTCGTTTCGAGAATATTCTTCTATAAATGTTCTTGTGATTTCTGACAAACGATAATACCTGCCACATTCACTTCGTTCTAATAAACAGTGAGTGGTAGATAAATGCATAAGAGTTGATTTAACTTCTTCACCAAATAAACGCAAAGCAGAATCAATTTTTATTCTTTCACTAAAACAGCATATCTTAGCAAGAGCAATTTTTTCATCAAGTTCAAGTTTATCAAATATCAAACCCATATCCCTTTTAAAGTCAGTTCTTCTCATTGCATGTTTTAAGGAAAAGGTTATTTCTTTATTAAAAAACGTATCAAGCTCATGATTACTTAAAACTTTAACATGTGCCGCAAGCTTAATTAACATAAATGGATTTCCCCCACATATTTGAATGATCTTTTCATATTGACTAAATGATAAATTAGGACTAATTTCTCGGAGAAGATCTGCAGCATTCTCCATATCTAAACCTTTTAAACATATTTCAACACATTTTATATGATTTATTTGAGAAAGATCTGGAATACCAGTTGTTGTAATAATAATTTTTAGCAAGCTTTTGTCAACACTCAAAACCTCTCGAATAAAAAACCAAAACTGTAATTCCCCCTCTGCCTTAATATTTAACTGATCAACTTCTAATACTAAAACAGTTTGACGAGTCATATTTATCAATTTATTTCGTAAAAATGCAACACGATATTGAGTAATACATTTACCAGGATTAATTTCTTCTAGAATAGCAGCTGCAACATCATCAAGTTTTGTCTCAGAACAATTCATTAAAAACATTGGCATAATAAAACAAATATTTAAAGTTTTTTCATGAGCATTTTTAATGCCATTTCTAAGCAAAACTGATTTACCTACACCCGGTAAACCACTTAAAACTAATAACTTACTTGATGAAGAAGTACAAAATTCAACCAGCTCATTCAACTCCTTTTCTCTTCCAAAAAGCTTGGCAGTTGATTGCATGAATATTGGATTTAAATCACTGTCACCTATAAAAATAAAACTACATTTTATCTGATTTTATTATACTACATTTTATCTGATATTACTAGATATATATTTTTTTTTTTTTTTTTTTTGTTTTGTTTTTTCTAATTATCTTTTATCATCTGTAGCAAAGACATTTTTTATAGTTAAAACTTAGTCTAACTTGGACAATTTTTTATTTTTAAACCATTTGTTTGGGGCTATAAAATTTTAAGTGTACTTAGTTGCATATAATAAGTGATCAGGGTCAAAATTTAATAAGGGCCAGGGCTGGATTTGTTAAATATTTGTAAATAACTCTTTTCAAATAAAGATAAATATATTTTAATCAAAGCTAATAAGTCAACAGCCTCAACTAATTCTGCTTTAAACTCTTTTGTTGTGATTTCATTTGACAGAACACTAAGTTCAAAATTAAGCAGCATATTTGCTTCAAAAAAATACATTATCAATTAATACTATTAACATATAATGACTAATATTAAAATACTATTAATAATAGTATTTTAATATTAGTCAGCTTAGTTTGCTATATTACAAAATACAAACTCAGACTATTGCTAATTGACAAATCTTACAAAGAACAAAGAAAGTGAAGCCCATATGTTTTTACATATATGTTTTTCATTTATTTTGTATTCTAATTTTTAAATAAAATTTTAGGATTGCAGAGTTGAGCCTACTATATTACACTCTAAGTAATGAACAATAATCAACCAAATATAGTATGCACATTTCATGGCAAGTAGCACTAAAAAACCATTACTGCAATTAAAACTATTTACCAGTTTCTTTCTTAAAATGATCAACTAAATCTTTTCGTCCTGCCTTTTTCAATGCTGGAAACAGCTTACAAAACGATGCCTCTTTTGATACCTCTCTTTGCCACATAAGATAACCTCGGTATGCAATTTCACGAGAGTCTGTAATTCTTCTATTTTCACAATCTTGTTCATTTAGTAAAACTTTATCACCATCGACGCCAAGAAAGAATAATACTCTTTGCCAGTGAAGAATAGTTTGGTCACCAAGCACTCTATAGTGCTCGGGAAGTAAGAGACAATTAGAATGGCCAGAATAACATTTATTCATTTCTCTTAATAAATAACATAAAATTTATTTGAATGCTATTTAAAATAAGAAAGCTATCTTGCGTGTAAGCCCCTTACGTGTTTTAGATTAGACGTTGAGGTAAGGAGATTTGTGTATAGTCTGGTCCTAGACTAGACTGTAAAAAATCTTTTAAAGTGCGTAAAATGAGGAGACATTTCGTCAGCCCGGTATACAGTTTCGCATCGAAAATTGATAGTGTCTATTGGCACGGCCGCCGTGTACAACATCTAAAAAAGACTAATGGCATGACCGCCATATAAACAGTTAAGAAAAGGTATTTGCGCGGTAAAATTGGCAGTAGGACTGCACCGTAATAGGACTCCGCCGTAACTTTAGAATTAATTAATAGGTACAACAAAACAAATTAAAAGCTGAAAAGGAAGATCTAAAAGAAAATGACAGCTATTGCAATTACATAGAACTCTTTGCCATTCTAAAAAAACGCAAAAAGAACAAGTAAAATAAAAATATTTTTTAAAACCCAGTGCTTTTATATGTTTTAAAAACACAAATTTTGCTATAAGTTTTTTCTGATAATGCTATTTTATTTTATTAACATTCGGCTGTATGCTTGTGTAAAAATACAAAATATATTCAGGAAGAGGCAAGTCTCGAACCTCCAACTTTCAGTTTACAAAGTCGACGACTTTACCAAATAAACTAAACGCGCGTTTAAGTATTCAAACAATTACTGTACTTATTTATAAATTTTAAATTCTTCTTTCCATATTAAAAATAAATTTAATTAAAATTAACTAAATTAATTAACTTATTTCAAAACTAATTATTGAATATTGTATTGTCATCAAGCAAGAGTATGTATGCAAAACATGAAGAAAATCTATCATCAGGAAGTGACTCAAAAATTGATTGCAAGATTTGGTTTTGCCACCGTGCGAATAGCCTTTTTAGAATGGGAACACGGCGGCCGTGTGAATAGCCTTTTTAGAATTGGAACACGGCGGCCGCGCGAATAGCATCGGCCTCGAAAATTTATTAAAATTGTATCCTAAATAAGTAATTTCCTAAATTACACTGGCCAAAAATTACCATACCGCAAAATCACGCTATGCGGGGTGGGGGGTGTTGTCGCGTGGGGAAACCCCCTAAGCTGTAGAAGTCCAAACTTTACTGAAGAGTTTTATAAAACTTCGATTGAGAGGTCATGGCTATGTTTTTCTCAAAAATCTATGATAACTGGTAATTTGAAACTGGCAAACATTTTCAAAAAAATTAAAAAGACACGAAAAAAGTCAGCATCATATGCGATCATGTTGTATATATGATAAGTGGAAGCAAAATGAAACAATTGATAAAAAAATCTTAATATGAATCAAAATTTTGGGTAAAAGTGTCAGAGCGACTAGTTAATATAGCATTAGTATTTTCTGAAAATTGTTTAGCCTTCTGTGGTCATCGCGAATCATTTGATGATAAATGTAATGGTAAATTTATAACCTAAGTAAATCTTTTATCAAAATATGACACTGTTATGAAACAAGTTTTGAAAATGTATTTAAACCATCAAATCCAGGATGAAATTATTAGTTGTCTTGCTACAACATTAATTAAAATTATGGAATTTTTTTTGGGTTTTGCGGAAGTGTACAACCACAAAGCTCTGGAAATATATAAAAAAAAACAGTAAATCTGCTTGAAAAAAATAATATAATTTTAAATAAATGTAGAGGACAAGCTTAGGATGGAGTAAATGTTATGCGTGGGACTTACTTAATGATGTTCAGTCTTTTCTTAAACAAGGTAAACCTGAATCCATACAGCTAAATTATGCAGCTCATAACTTAAATCTAGTTATTAATGACGCTGTAAAAATTGAGTGAAAACGATGCTGTTGAAATGGGCACAAATAAGTTGTGTCCATTTCAACCCGACAAAATTTGAAGTTCCGCCACTGCTAATTTATGTTAAGTTTATAGAAAAAAGCTCTTTTTTTATGTTATATTGTAACATTGTATAAAAATAGTTTTTTACATTTACATAACTTTAAATTAACATAAATGTATAATTACATATTTAAATATAATTTTAATAAACTTTTGATACGACACTTGTTTTGCAGGTAGACGTTTTATAAAAAATGACTTTCGATTGGTCATGACTTTCTCGCTTGGCGAGTGGGTCTCCAAGGAGCGCACTGAAGAAAACTTAGAACAGGAATAATAAATAAAGTAATTGATCAAGGAAATCAGTTGATGGCAATACTAGACACATATATAAGAAAAATATCATTGCAGTCAGAGATAAGAATGGGTAGAGGAAAGAACAGAAATTAGTTTTTTCTGTGGCCGAAAAAAACATTTGTCGAAATTTGATTTAAACAAATATTGTCTCATGTATGCCAAGAAACGTCTGCAATTGTCAGTATAACAGTAACAAACTCTTGATTCTAGAATTTTTTTATAACAAAAATTTATTCCCTATATTATAAATAGTTTGTTTGAGATTTTGTTTGCAACATCAACAACATTAATTATTTTTAACAAACAAAATATCTGCCTGAGTTAAGAATGAGAGTGGTTGATTAAAAAAAATTTACAATTAGGACAGTGTGTCACTGGTTATGTTAAAGAAAAGTTTCCCTGGAAAAAAAGTTTTATAGAGTTTCTATAAACCTTTGAATCATATGACCTATAGAAATTTTATAGAATTTCTATAGAATGTTTATTATTATCTATAGAAACTTTTTTTTTTATAGAAAAAAAGTACAAAAAAAAGTTATATAGAAATTTCTATAGAAATGAACAGAGATTCTATAGAAATTCTCTAGAATTTTATAGAATTTCTATAGGCCATATGTATTGAAAGTTTATAGAAATTCTATAGAACTTTTTTTCCTGGGTTTTTATAAAGGAAATATTCTTTTATAAGGCATATCAGAATCACCGAATCAAACAACACTTAAATTCACTGAGATTGCAGTAAATTTGATTCAAATTTAGATGGAGTAGCCATATATTTAGCGCAATGAGCAAGTTATATTGGTGAGTTTCCTCTTTCCTCAAAGTTATTTGAAAAAAGTAAAAAAAAAAATCATAGTGTTTAAATAATAGAGGATATCAGGGGCGGATCTAGGATTTTTATTGACTGTAGCAAAATGCCGTAAATATTTTTTTGTCTAAAAAAAAAAAAGGTCCTCGCTTTTCACACTTGCAGACTGTACAGTATGATTTACATATGCCGATTTGTAGATCTAAAAAAGCTCAATTTGCAGACATAATGAAATAAAATTCATTGATAGGAGTTAAAAGGAGGGTACAACACATCATTAGCGCCAGTCTTGGACGTACGGTGGCTTATAGTAATTCATAAGGTCCCCTACCACTACCTTTTTCTTCCGTCTGTTTAGAGCGGAAAAACTGAATACTTTTTAACGAAATAATAAGTTACTTGTCTTTTATGACTTTTTATTGTGACTAAAACTCTGACCGAACTTTTATCCTCAGTCGATGTATTTAAATTTAGTTCTTAGTATTCCTATTGCCAGTCAATGTATTTATGACAAGTATCGCACAAAACATTATAATATAAATTTATTTTTCAAATCATTAAAAGATTTAAATCAAATAAAATATTTGTGGTTGTTAAAATATTTTGGTCTACAAAATAATTGGAGGTGGATATTTGAAAATGAAAACGACAAATTTAATTAAAATTTGTTTATTAAACTTTTTTATTGAATTAAAATTTGTTTTAAAACACATGCTTTATTTAATGGCTTACTTTATAAAATATCTGAAAATTAAAATAGCCACTGTAACCACTGTACTGTTGTATAAAATTTATAAAAACAATTTATAAATATTTTCATATTTTTAATAATAAACTTCATTACTTCATTACAATAAACTTTTTGTCAAATAATGAAAAAAACAAACAGGTTTCAAATTGATTAAAAGATAGAACTAAAGTAACTCAACTTTTAAATAAAAATTGCTTTAAATAAATAAAAAATAAATAAATAAATAAAAAATAAATAATATAACGCTTTAAATAAATAAGGAACGTTTTTAAATTTCAAAACAGCAAACTTCAGACATATTACAATTAACAGCGATACAATTAACAAATCTCAGCAAATAATAAAAACAAAGTGTCAATAAATAAATGTCAACCTAACAAGACAAACTAAATATGGCTGTTCTTTGTTCAAAACAACATATTTCTTTGTTTGTAGAAAATTTTCATATTGATTTTGTTGTAGAAAATTTTCAGTGGTTTTTTATGAACTAATATAGGAAAGTATGCATGCATTAAAGCATAAAAGTATTGAATATGGAAGTCAAATAAACTTTATCTTTAATAAAATTAAAGAAAGGCCATTGAACAATGTCAAAAAGACTTTTAATCCACCTATTTTAAATGATTTTGAATATTGACCAAAATTTAAAAAATAAAACATACTAGTCCAAATTTCATATTTGTTAAACAAATCATAATTTTAAATAGGTGTTAATGTAAACAAGAGATTTCTTTCGTTTCAAAGAACACTTATAAAATGTCTAAAGATACTTTTCTTAAATTTCTAAATTCTGTTTCAAGTAGTTCAGTAACAAGTTTTCCTAACATAACAAAACTTGGTAACAAAAATGTTCCTCTTAATAGCGTTTTAATCAGCTAGACTATTTCTTCACATGTATAATTTGTGAAATACTTTGTGACATGCGCTAATATTTTATGCATATTTCCTGATTTTTTTTTTATACATAATGCTGTGTTGCGAAAATCCAAAACAAACTTTCTTTGTTTTTCATTTAGATCTTTGAGGAAGCTTTTTGATTATTGAACCTAAAATATCATTATTGAACCTAAAATATATGCCCACATATTTTAGATTAAATTTTTTCCATTATGTGACAGCAAGTTTAATAAAATCACCTTTCTTGTTTACGTTTGAGATAGTAGAAGTTTCAGAGTGATTAAGAAAAACATTGTAAGTATTATCAGAAAAAAGGTTTTTCTTTTTGAGTCCATTATTTTGTATGTTTTTGATAACGTGGACGTAAGTCAAACAAAAAAAGAGTTCCATCTGTAGTTAACTAAGGTTTTCATCAAATGTTAGAGTTAGATTTTCATCACATATAATTGCCTTTGCTTTGCTGTTTGACTATCATACTGATTATAAAGTTAAATGAATTTGATCAAATAAAAATTAAGAATTTGTTTGTTTACAGGTTTTCACAACATTTTCAAAAAAAATTTTTGGACCATTAATTTCTGGATCATTT